CCGCCCCCCCCCTAGTTGCGCCTCTGAGACAGTGCACGATCACTCTTTCATTGTATAGATGTTCCACTCTTTGTTTTTGTTTTGTTTAGCTTAATAATTGCAGCCTCAGTTTTGAACATTTCTGTCTACTTGCATGTGGTAGTTCACCACTCCTGCACTTCAAGTTAGTTTCTATTTACAGCGAGGAAGAAATAGCTACCCTGCTATGAACTGTACATTTTTACTTTCTTGTACAAGGAGGATTGCTATTCAACGAAGGATAATCAAGTGACCCGCTTAGAGGTAATGTTATTGTAGTATCCAACAGAGAAATTTCCTCGAGTCTCATTTCGATCTTTCGCTGCTTGTGAGTAGGTTAGATGGTAGGTACGTGGAGATGAGGATAAGGGTTTGTAGGAGTGGGATATAAGGAATGTTTCGTTAAAATCATTCCATTTGTCCACGTGTTATACTGTTTCTCAGTCCAGCGGAATTCCTTTGGAAGTATCGCATTTAGTGCGCCCTGCGCCGAAAATTTTTTTACCCCCCTTGGAAAAATTGCATGATGTATATCAAATTATTGGTTATAATTGGGTTTGATTTGCAATTTCCACTCATTTCTGGCATTTACAAACTTTATCAAATAAAGGCTTCATTTCATACCTTTAAGCTTTCTCCTTGTTTTATATCCTTCATTATAGTCATTCATTTTACGTTAACTACAAAGATCTGTAAAACGATCGTTTTTAAAAACGATCTTTTTTCAAAATAATCGTTTTTATAAAACTCGTCGATTCATTAACGATCGTTAACGACGACCCTTCGTTAACGATCGTTAATGACGACCCATGATGCAACTGATGGATAGCTGATAGATAGATAGATAGATAGATAACTAGATAGATAGATAGACAATTATGTACAATTATGTAATGGTATTTGTTGATATCAAAAAAGATTCTCAACTATAATTGTATTTAATAAATAAATAAACTGGAAACTAGATTGATATGTTTCTATTTTTATGTTGACATAAACTGATAAATAAACAAGATATTTTATAGTTTACAACCAAACATAACAGTAGGTCCGGGAATACACAGATCAAATAAACCACAGTTAAACACATCCTTTGCTCATAGAAATATATATGTAGAGTAAAAGCAACTATGTCCTGTATGCCGAGTCCATTAGCGCCTGATCCAATCAGGGTTCAGTCATGTGTTTGTTGTCTATTCTGAACCAATAGAAACAGTATGGTGGTAACATCTATCTTTCTATCTATCTCATTATCCAATCAGAGTTATGAATCCTTCTATCGGCGCTATCAGTAAATGGAAATATTTATTCTACTGTAACTGAGAGAAAATCCACTCAAAATGTAAAACGAATCTCCGGTACAGCTTTACAAACTCGCAGCTCCTGTCAGCTTACATTTTAAGTATTTTTGTTTATACATGTTCCACTACAATCCAAACATAAGGAAATGTTCAAAGTTTTGAAAAACTGTGTGTATAACTTTGTGACCTCGTAGCTCCTCTTTGTTTTAATTTTACGCACAAGTATTAGGAAAGCCAATTTTTTCCGTAAGAGGAGTTATGATTAAAAACATGTAAGATTTCAATGTAAGGTGACTTACTTTGATGTGGCATGTTAGAAATTTAAAACGTTTCTTTTCAAGTACACTTTTCAGAAGAGGATATTTTAGAGATCTAACTATTTTTATTTCTAAGTAGGTTTTTTTTTATGTTTTACATACGTTTACTGTGAATACAATATTTGTATTACTAATTGAAACCTGTAGAATTCAAAACTAAATTTAAAGGAATTGAGTCTTTGCCACAAATTCTAAATGTTTAATCCCGATATCTTTGCAACCTAATGTCTGAGACCTTTAATATTTCAAACCATGAATTCTATTAGATCAAATAATTTATGTTTGAAATATCAAAGGTCTTCACCATCAGGTTGATAAGATATAGGGATTAGTAACTTAGAGTTTGTGACAAATACTCAATTCCTTTACTTACTTGACATGATGCAACTGCAAGTACTAATATTACAATTTTCAATCTGCTTGAAATCTGGTATACACCTCCCAGATATGTGAACAATCTGTTTGAAAACTGGTTTACAACTCCCAGATAGGTGAACAATCTGCTTGAAAACTGGTTTACACCTCCCAGATGGGTGAACAATCTGCTTGAAAACTGGTTTACACCTCCCAGATAGTTGAACAATCTGCTTGAAAACTAGTTTACACCTCCCAGATAGGTGAACAATCTGTTTGAAAACTGGTTTACACCTCCCAGATAGGTGAACAATCTACTTGAAAACTGGTTTACACCTCCCAGATATGTGAACAATCTACTTGAAAACTGGTTTACACCTCCCGGATAGGTGAACAATCTGCTTGAAAACTGGTTTGTTAGTAAATAGTGTAAAGGACAGGAGATTTACGAGGATTTAACATGTCGGTCCTTATCCCAGAGAACTCTGACTTTTGATCACAATTTGACCTATTTGCATAATTTATTCGCCTATTCTCTTTTCTCCTTTTTTGTTGGCATTATATACATTATATAGACATACATGGACTGTTAGATAGATCTGATTGATATCATATTGAGCCTGTTACTCAGTTTGGTCCACTTTCCTATTCATATCAAAATTAGAATATCTAAAATTAATAATATGTAATAACTTCAAATATCTACTGACCAAGAAAATGTTATTTTGAAAAACATGTTCACTAGTATTTTTCTACCATTTCCTTCCTCTTTCTGGTGCAGAAATCCTCAAGTTATAAGTAAACAATTGTCAATAATACAATATAGAATAACAAGGGAATCTACGTCATATTTGATCAGAAGAAGATTTAAATATTACTTTGAAAGTAATTCTTCAAATGAATGGTCACGTTGACACTACTTATTTAAGGATTTTTTTCCTGGCCTAATATTGAGTTTTACAACATAAACATAAATTTAAATTAAAAATTAATTGATAAGGTTAAAAACAATTCATTATATATCCTCCAGTTTGAAATCTATATTTTTCTTTTACAAGATGTTTTTTTTTTCATAATTGGACGACTTTCTTCATGTCAATCTTTCTAACAATCATTTTATGTATTCATGATGGATGGCCGGATCGTTAAGTAATTCTTGCACTTTTTTTCTTTTTTTTTTAATGCTATACTTGTTTATTATACTTTTGACTTTTAAATATATTTGTTTGATTAAAATGAAAAGAAAAGGGTTGAAAACTATTTAAAATTATAATTTTATCTGTTTATTGTAATTGTGCTGTTACAAAAAAGGCTTTTTCACTTCAGAAAATGCAATATAAATTTTAAAATCAAAGAATATCTGTTTATAAATTATAAAAATAAAAGAATATCTGTTTATAAATTATAAAAATTAAGGAATGTCTGTTTATAAATTATAAAAACAAAAGAATATCTTTTTGTAAATTACAATAATAAAAGAATATCTGTTTATAAATTACAAAAATAAGAGTATATATGTTTAAACATTACAAAAATAAAAGAATGTCTGTTTATAAATTATAAAAATAAAAGAATATCTGTTTATAAATTAGCAGAAACACAAATGGGCTTATAAAATCTAATAAAATATTTATTTTCTAAAACATATAAACTGTACACTGTGCAGGGTGCACACGTATATTATGTGTGTGCAGTATATATTAATATATGTTTGCTAGATTTAAACAAGTTAATAAAACTAGGCTGAAGAAAATACAAGGTGTAGTCCCAGGACTGACTCCGGAAAATCCTAAAAAAACAAAAATAATCAGAAAATGTTTAGTTTTTTTGTCATGAATATCTCACTAAAATAATTTTTGTTCGTAGCATTAAACCACACAAAAAATTTTCAATTCCTAATATTTTGATAAAAATTCAGAACAAAATCGGGTGATATCTCACATTACACTTACAGGCGGCCAGTTCGCTCTTTCAAAGATTGATGAAAACTTTAGTATGTTTGAAGGTTTTTGGAGGGGGGGGGGGAATTTGAAATTAATGATGATTTATTTTCTTTTAAACAAATATTTGAAATTCTTTAGGTAACCTCGATATCATATAAATATATTATATTAATTGAATGAATATGTAATATAAATAAAATTGATACTACTTTTTGTCAGTTTGTTTTATCTTAAGAAAACTTACCTAGTCCAAAATATCCTCTCTGGTACTCCTGGGCGTAGTCTAAAATAAAATTGACCACAGGGTTTATAACATAAAGAAAAAGATGTTAAAATGATAAAAATGTTAAAATTACCTATTTCACGTGTTCTAAACTCAAACTGTTTACTCTCATCAGACCAACCATAGTCATTCTCAACCTAGTATAGTCTTGAATGAATTACTTGTAGAACAAGGTTTAAGAATTTATTACTCTGTTGAATCTAGTTTAAGAAATGTTTACTCTGTAGAACCTAGTTAAAGATTTGTTTACTCTTTAGAATATGGTCTAAGAATTGTTTACTCTGTTAGAACATAGTTTAAGAAATGTTTACGCTGTAGAACCTAGTTTAATGAATGTTAACTCTGTAGAATCTATTATGAGAAACGTTTACTCTATAGAACCTGGTTTAATAATTGTTTACTCTGTAGAACATGGTTTCAGAAATGTTTACTCAATAGAACCTGGTTTAAGAAATGTTTACTCTGTAGAACAGGGTTAAAGTAATGTTTACTCTGTAAGAACCTGGTTTAAGAAATGTTTACTCTGTGGAACAGGGCAAAAGAAATGTTTACTCAATAGAACCTGGTTTAAGAAATGTTTACCCTGTGAAACAGGGTTAAAGAAATGTTTACTCTCTAAGAACCTGATTAAGAATAAAATGTTTATTTCTGCATTTAAAGAATTGTTTACTTATTGATGCAAATTATAAGTTTCGATTGTTGTGATTATTTTGATTTTGCATTTGATTGAAGAGCTGTTTAATTAAAAATATCTTGGTTTTGAATATCCAACCTTTACAAGAACTTCATATCGTGTAGAACGACGAAGGAAGTCAATGGCATGAGTCACTACCCTGAAAGTTTAAGCATATAAAATTTTATTATTTTAGTTAACTATGGTTTACTAGTGGTTGGTTTATATTAGTAAACTAGTTAACTATGGTTTACTAGTGGTTGGTTTATAAACTAGTTAACTATGGTTTACTAGTGGTTGGTTTATATTAGTAAAGTAGTTAACTATGGTTTACTAGTGGTTGGTTTATATTAGTAAACTAGTTAACTATGGTTTACTAGTGGTTGGTTTATTTTAGTAAACTAGTTAACTATGGTTTACTAGTGGTTGGTTTATATTAGTAAAGTAGTTAACTATGGTTTACTAGTGATTGGTTTATATTAGTAAACTAATTAACTATGGTTTACTAGCGGTTGGTTTATTTTAGTAAACTAGTTAACTATGGTTTACTAGTGGTTGGTTTATATTAGTAAACTAGTTAACTATGGTTTACTAGTGGTTTGTTTATACTAGTAAACTAGTTAACTATGGTTTACTAGTGGTTTGTTTATACTAGTAAACTAGTTAACTATGGTTTACTAGTGGTTGGTTTATACTAGTAAACTAGTTAACTATGGTTTTCTAGTGGTTTGTTTATACTAGTAAACTAGTTAACTATGGTTTATCTAACTGGGTTGTTTTTATGATGCGCCATGAACACTAACATACAATAAAACTGTGAAATGATTGTGTGCTTGTTTTCTTAAATATTAATTACATTCTATGGTCTACATATATACGTTAGTATTTTTCTACGGTCTACATGTAGATGTGAGTATTATTCTAAGATCTAAATGAAGACGTTAGTAGTATTATTCTACTGTATACCGGTATTGGTTAGTTTTATTCTTTGGTCTACAGGTATACGTTAATATTGTTTTGCGGTCTACCTGTAGACGTTAGTATTATTCTGTGGTCTACCTGTATACGTTAGTATTATTCTGTGGTCTACCTGTATACGTCAGTATTATTTTACGGTCTACCTGTATACGTTAGTATTATTCTGTGGTTTACCTATATATGTTAGCATTATTCTACGGTATACCTGTAAACGTTTGTATTATTCTACAGTCTACCTGTATACGTTAGCATTATTCTGTGGTCTACCCGTATATGTTAGTATTATTTTACAGTCTACCTGTGGTCTACCTGCAAACGTTAGTATTATTCTACGGTCTACCTGTAGTGTCTACGTTAGTATTATTCTATGGTCTACCTGTATACGTTGGTATTATTCTGTGGTCTACCTGTATACGTTAGTATTATTTTGTGGTCTACCAGTATACGTTAGTATTATTCTACGGTCTACCTGTATACGTTAGTGTTATTCTACAGTCTTCCTGTCTATGTTAGTATCTTTTTGTGGTCTACGTGTATACGGTAGTATTATTCTACGGTCTACCTGTCTACGTTAGTATTATTCTGTGGTCTACCTGTATACGTATGTATTATTCTGTGGTCTACCTGTATACCTGTAGACATTAGTATTATTCTACGGTCTACCTGTATACGTTAGTATTATTCTACGGTCTACCGGTATACGTTAGTATTATTCTGTGGTCTACCTGTCTACGTTAGTATTGTTCTGTGGTCTACCTGTAGATGTTAGTATTATTCTACGGTCTACCTGTATACGTTAGTATTATTCTACGGTCTACCTGTATACGTTAGTATTATTCTACGGTCTACCTGTATACATTAGTATTATTCTGTGGTCTACCTGTATACGTTAGTATTATTCTGTGGTCTACCTGTAGACGTTAGTATTATTCTACGGTCTACCTGTATACGTCAGTATTATTCTGTGGTCTACCTGTATACCTGTAGACAGGGATGTTAACGTTTAAATTTTTCAGAAAAACGATCGTTTCGTTATGAAAACGGCGACGAAAAATCGAAAACGAAGCGATCGTTTTTAAAAACGATAGCTTTTTAAAAAAGTTCGTTTTTTAAAAATGGTCGTTTTTAAAACGATCGTTTTTCAAAACACTCGTTTTTATAAACGATCGGTTTTCAAAACGATCGTTTTTATAAAATTCGTCGTTTCGTTAACGATCGTTAACGACGACCCTTCGTTAACAATCGTTAACGACGGAGATCGTTAACGACAACCCTTCGTTAAAGATCGTTAACGAAGAGAGGAAACCGACCTGAAGGACATCTGTACTTATCATTGAGTAGTTTTTAAGAAAATATTAAGGAGTTTTAACTCCCCCACAACTGTTAAACTTCATGTAAGACGACATTCAATAAAGTTGCATGTAATTTTTTTTCCAAAAACGACCATTTTGATAGAGTTCGTCGTTTCGTTAACGATCGTTAGCGACGACCCTTCGTTAACGATCGTTAACATAATTTTCAATAAAAATTTTTTTCAAAAAGGATCATTTTTTCAAAAACGATCATTTTTTAAAAAACAATCGTATAAAAAACGGTCGCAAATCGTTTTAATAAAAACGACCGTTTTCAAAAACGATCGCTATTCGTTTTCTAAAAGTTCAAAACGAGTGGGTCGTTTTTAAAAACGATCGTTTTTTTCCGAAAACGAAACGATCGTTTTTGAAAACGAAACAAAAAACGATCGTTTAACGATCGTTTTCAAAAACGATTAACAACCCTACCTGTAGACGTTAGTATTATTCTACGGTCTACCTGTATACCTGTATTCGTTAGTATTATTCTACGGTCTACCTGTATACGTTAGTATTATTCTGCGTCTACCTGTCTACGTTAGTATTATTCTGTGGTCTACCTGTAGATGTTAGTATTATTCTACGGTCTACCTGTATACGTTAATATTATTCTACGGTCTACCTGTAGACGTTAGTATTATTCTACGGTCTACCTGTATACGTTAGTATTATTCTACGGTCTACTTGTCTACATTAGTATTATTCTGTGATCTACCTGTATACGTTAGTATTATTCTGTGGTCTACCTGTAGCCGTTAGTATTATTCTACGGTCTACCTTTATACCTCAGTATTATTCTGTGGTCTACCTGTATACGTTAGTATTGAATGCAGCTCCATACTGATCCCTATCCGTAGATTCACGTTTAGCTGGGAAAAGCTGAACTATCCATTTTCTGTCATCTGCCAGTAGATCCTACATTTACCAATATTAAACCAGAAGAAAACCTTTAATCTAATATGACAAAACCTTAGTTCACCACCCTTACCTCATCTTGCACATATTTCACAACATAGCAACGAGAATTTTAGACAAACTGGACAAATAAGAAGGTTTTGAAATGATAAATAGATAGATATGTAGATTTAGGGAAGACATTATAAATACTAGGTTTGGGAAGGATCGGCAGATTATAGATACTAAGGCCAGTGCGTTTGGTAGACACAGAGATATATAAAACATTGGTAGACTTGTAGCTTCCTATATCCTAGGTAGCTTACTATATCCTAGTTAGCTTACTATATCCTAGGTAGCTTACTATATCCTAGGTAGCTTCCTATATCCTAGGTAGCTTACTATATCCTAGGTAGCTTACTATATCCTAGGTAGCTTACTATATCCTAGGTAGCTTACTATATCCTAGGTAGCTTACTATATCCTAGGTAGCTTCCTTTATCCTATAGGTAGCTTACTATATCCTAGGTAGCTTCCTATATCCTAGGTAGCTTACTATATCCTATGTAGCTTACTATATCCTAGGTAGCTTACTATATTATAGGTAGCTTACCTATATCCTAGGTAGCTTACTATATCCTAGGTAGCTTACTATATCCTAGGTAGCTTACTATATCCTAGGTAGCTTACTATATCCTAGGTAGCTTACTATATCCTAGGTAGCTTACTATATCCTAGGTAGCTTCCTATATCCTATGTAGCTTACTATATCCTAGGTAGCTTTCTATATCCTTGGTAGCTTCCTATATATCCTTGGTAGCTTACTATATCCTAGGTAGCTTCCTATATCCTAGGTAGCTTACTATATCCTAGGTAGCTTACTATATCCTAGGTAGCTTACTATATAGCTTACTATATCCTAGGTAGCTTACTATATCCTAGGTAGCTTACTATATCCTAGGTAGCTTACGATATCCTAGGTAGCTTCGCAAATAAGGGAAATTACTTAACTTTGGAAACATGAATGGGAAAGTGGGTATTTATGGGAAAGATTCATAGGGATATATGCCGAAAGGGAATAGAATGGGAAGATGCATAGAAAATTACAAAAAAATTGGAAGATGAAAATGTGAAAATTTGTATTATGGGAAATATGCATGGACACATAAGTATTTGTTGGAAAGATATCTAGAAAGGTAGAGTTGGGAAAGACTTATATAGTTGGGAAAGATGTATAGTAAAGTTCTTGCATTGTTTTGTTTTGGTGTTCTTATTTTGTTCTTGTGTTGTTGTGTTTTGGTGCTGTTATTGTATTCTTGTGTTGTTTTGTTTTTGTGCTGTTATGTTGTTTTTTTCTTGTGTTTTGTGTTTTTTTTGTGCTTTTGTGTTGTTGTGTTGTTTTGTTGTTGTGTTTTTGTGCTGTTGTGTTGTTGTGTTGTTGTATTGTTATATGGTTTACTGCAGAATATTCAATATTTCTGTGTCACACCACAGCAGTGTGTAAATTTTCCAATATTTGAGTTTAAACTTGCATCTGTAGGATCTGCAGTAAAAGCATAAAGAAAAAGTTTATATTTGTCCTTCTTTAATCAAATCTGGTACTTGCTAATCAAAAATTACAAGCCCCTCCCATGCAAAAGGTGAAAAAGGTTTAGCCTCCCCCCCCCCTACCCCTACTGGACAAATTCTCGTTCACACCCAACCTGCCCTGAAGCCGGAAAAAGAATTCTTTTTGACGTCACACTCAACCTTAAAAACAACAACGAAAAGGGCAAAATTTTGTAGCGGCCATATGACGTAAAGTCTAAAGTCCCAAATTGTGAAGCGGCCATATACCGTATACTCTAAAGTCCCAAATTGTGAAGCGGCCATATTCTGTAAAGTCTAAAGTTCCAAATTGTGAAGCGGCCATATACCGTAAAGTCTAAAGTTCCAAATTGTGAAACTACCATATACCGTAAAGTCTAAAGTCACAAATTGTGAAGCGGCCATATACCGTAAAGTCTAGCTATAGTCCCTTTATGAAGATTTAATGAATTTAAGGTCGCATTTAAGGATAATTCATGTACAATGTTTAATACCTTGGTAACATAATTTTATAATTCATGTATACCTTACTCCTGTATCTGATTTGAACATTAGAAAGAGTACTAAAGGATTTAACGGTGAAAACGAGCTCATAGCTTGTAGCGAAGAGAGACTCCGGGGTGCTGTTGATGGTGGGAGGCTCAGGTCGACCAGTTAGCTCAATATCCTTCTCAGTGATTCCTTAAAAATGAATTAAATGCCGTGGTCAGCATATATATCAATACCATATCGTTTACTGTAATGAGTTTGTTTTAAAACTTAATAACTGAAAAAATCTCAAAAACTGAAAAGGGTCAACTCAGACTAAAACATATTTTTAAAAAAAATGTGGAACTAACATCTACTTTATTTACTCTATAAAGTTTGGTCCAAATCATCAACACAAAATTTTAAAATAATGATGTAATATAGAGGCTGACATATATTTAAATAAAATGCTACGTAATAAAGAGTGGTCGGTGCATAGATTAATTAAAATAACAGATAGAACACTAGATCTCGTTTTTTCAAAATTTGGATGAAACTCGTGCGCAATAAACCTGAGGCAGAAGCCCAGAGGAGTTTCGCGCGGTCGGCATAGAACAGACTCTCTCTATATTGGAATATTTTACCATTTATGTAACCGACACTGTATTAATATTGCAGACCAGCTGTATTAGATACATCTTATCGTAGAAAGTTCATAACATCACCATATTGTTGTGTATTTTATCAAATTTTCTAACCTAACTCATTGTTGGCCTCACAAGTAAAGTTTGAAGTAAGATCAAGTTTAGTGACGGAGCGAAGACGAAGGAAATGCCGCGAACCCTCACTACTCATCAAGTGGTTTTCATCCGGGGTTAGAATCTCAGCTGGCCGATCAACTTAACAAGTATTTTCAGATTTATTATTCCAGGATTTAACCAGAGTTGGCAACTTTTCAAATTTAGATGGGGCCTAGCTAAAAAGCACGATTTTATTTATTAAAACATTGCTGGAGTTCAAAAGCATGCTTTGAGAGTTAAAAATGTTGACCTCAGATATTATCTAAAATTCCATTTTAAGTGACATAATTTTGCCATTAAAAACTGTAATTCTTGTTAAGGTGAACATTATCTTTATTTTTTTACCTGTTCTTCTGTACCAGTTGAGAACAGGTTGGGGATATCCATCAATTGTACATTCAAATTCAACCTTCACGCCGATTTATTTAACTTAAGAAACTAATCGTTTCAGAGCTGAACACTTTAGAATAGGATACCTTCAATACAAATCACCAAATCTGAAAATCCGCTTTGGACACTTTTGATTTCTGCTTTATCCGCTATTTTTTCCTCTTTTTGGATATCCCAACTAGATTCCAGATAAAAACCAAAGACTAAAATAATTTTTCAGATTAAGAAAAAGCGCAGATCAAGGATTAATCTCTAAAGTTTTCTGCCCAGCATAAATTTTTTCTTTCTTCAAAAAAATACCCGCCTTACTCCCTTCTTTCTCTGTTTTGACCCCTGAGTATTAATTTACATATCTGTATTGCCCCTTGCTTCTAAGTAAAATAAACCTCCACCCTCTATCCTGTATTGCCCCTGACTACAGTATAATATTTTTCCTTCCCCCCCCCCCCATGCATCTCTGTTGCCCCTGCATCACCCTATCCCTAAATTAACCCTGACTGCGGAATGAAAATCCCCCCCCCCCCTATATATCTATATAACCCCTAACTGCTATGTAATTTGCCCCCCTTGTATCTCTATATATATAACACCTAACTGCGAAGTAAGATGCCCCCTTTCAACTCTATATAACCCCTAACTGCTAAATAAGATGCCCCCCTTGTATCTCTGTATAACCCCTGACTACAGACTAAGTAAGATGATATGCTATGTTAAAGTACTGAGCCCTGTAAAGTGAGGATCCCTAATTAAAGTTTTAAATCCTTCCTTAGCTCCAACTCCTGAGTATATCCTAGACTGGAGAGGTTGAACTCGAGGTAGATAGTTGATATGTATATATATAGATATATAATCAGTATCTACACTGTTAGTTGCTTCACACATATATTCTCCTTTATCACGGGGGGAAACCTTAACAAGCGTTAACTAACAAATAAACAATTCCTTCACAATGCTAAAGGGACTGTAGGCGTAATTTCATGGGACTCTCCATGCAAAAATAGCAAGACCCGATTCACAACAAGGCCCTTGAAACCTTTTACATTTATTAAGGTTGACAGACTTATTCTCATAAATCTACGACACGTTGAACACTTTGTTCGCGAGCTGTTTTAAATTTAAAAATATGAATATGTACTTTTACAAATTGAAAGAGAAACAAATATTTTCTTTCTATTGTTTGGAAACCGTTTTTATGCAAAATATTCGATAAGGTCAAGGAATACAAGTTACTCACCAGCCGAGTTAATTTCAGACTGTACGTGGTTTAATTTACTTTTACTGAAGGATCAGAGGTGCGTGATTGTGTAACTTAAAATTACGCTTACAGACCCTTTAAGGAACAGTTGAATTTTCTTCCTTTTCGAACATCTTAACTTAAACATGATTTTTATTTTTTTACCAAATCTTGGTTGTTTCAATATAAATCTTTTGTTGTGAAAATAGATTAAAGAAAAACTTAAGAAAACAATTTAAGCAAACTCAAACTTGACCCCTTTGTGAACAAAAACTATAAATTGTTAAGTCGTTTACGAGTAAAAAGGTTTTTAGACCTTGAAACGTGTTCTCCCCTCTGAGAGGGAGGTATTTCTGAAAATTATCTGCTCCTCCCGAAACCTTGAAACGTGTTCTCCCCTCTGAGAGGAAGGTATTTCTGAAAAGTATCTGCTCCTCCCGAAACCTTGAAACGTGTTCTCCCCTCTGAGAGGGCTAGGTATTTCTGAAAATTATCTGCTCCTCCCGAAACCTTGAAACGTGTTCTCCCCTCTGAGAGGGAGGTATTTCTGAAAATTATGTGCTCCTCCCGAAACCTTGAAATAATACCTTAAACAGTGCTAAATATCTTGGATCGTTCTGAGTATGAAGTTCATGCAAGAGACCTCGTTCTTGCTTCTTCCACTTTATAACAGGCCTGAATATCATTCAAATTCAGAATACGGAAGTCTTGTAATGAAAATCAAATAAACCTGTAAAGGGACTGGAAAGGAAAAATGAAAGGGGGAATAGACTGAAAGCTAATCCCTTTATTTCTAAAATTATTATTTTATAACTTTATTTTTATTTTTAATAGATATAATTGATAATATTATTTACAAGTGCGTATTACGTCACCAGAACTCCCATCAATGGTAGTGCAGTATGGTGGTCACGTGTCTCTGTCTGTATCACGTGACCAGTATACTGCACTCTCATTAGTGTGAGTTCTTGTGAAGTAATATGGACTTATAAATAATATTATCAATTTTATCTAATAAAAATAGAAATATAAATTTTGAAATAATAATTGGAGAAGACCTAAGTTACTTTTACTAATTCATTTATTAAAATATTTAACTCGAACATTCTTAAAGTTCAAAACTCTATTTTTTATTTTTTTTTCTACCGAAAATGATATCTTCAAGTAACTTTGAGAAAAATAACATTGTGATTTCTTTCAAATATTTTGTTTTCAATTGTCAGTTACACATATATGTACATGTAACATAAACATGATATATTTTAACTGAAAGTCTATTATGCAAGATAAAAATTGAAAGTTCAGAAAACTTTTAATGAAATTTATTTCCTCAAACATATATACGATTTAATTTCATAACTTTTGTTATTTATTCTGTTTCTACAGACCTTGTTAAAAACTAACCTGGGATCTACTTCTATTGTCCAGACTTCCCGGATATCATCTCCCTGGTTTAAAGCTTACCTGGGATCTCCGTCTGCTGCACAGACTTCCCAGATATCTTCTCCCTGGTTTTAAACTAACCTGGGATCTCCGTCTTCTGTACAGGCTACCCGGATATCTTCTTCCTGGTTTGAAATTAACCTGGCATCTTCGTCTACTGTAAAGGCTACCCGGATATCTTCTCCCTGGTATAAAACTAACCTAGAATCTCTTTTAACTATACACGCTACCTGGATATCTTCTCCGTGGTTTAAAACTAACCTGGGATCTCCTTCTACTATTCTGGCTACCCGGATATCTTCTCCCTGGTTGAAAACTAAGCTGGGATCTCCATCTACTGTACAGGCTACCCGGATATCTTCTCGCTGGTTTAAAACTAATCTGGTATATCCGTATACTGTCCAGGCATCCTGGATATCTTCTTCCTGGTTTAAAACTAAGCTGGGATCTTAGTCTATTGTACAGGATACTTGGATATCTTTTCCTTGGTATAAAACTAACCTAGAATCTCTTTTGACTAAACACGCTTCCTGGATATCTTCTCCGGGCCGTGGTTTGAAACTAACATGGGATCTCCTTCTACTGTTCAGACTACCCGTATATCTTCTCCCTGGTTGAAAACTAACCTGGGATCTCCGTCTGCTTTAAAGGCTACATGGATATCTTCTTCCTTGTTTAAAACTAACCTGGGATCTCCATCTGCTGTACAGGCTACCCGGATATCTTCTCCCTGGTTTGAAACTAACCTGGGATCTCCGTCTGCTGTACAGGCTACCCGGATATCTTCTCCCTGGTTAGCGAATATATTTGCTCCAGGATGAGGGTGGGATATAGTTGGTGGCTGGAGAACTCTGAACAGATTAGGATTGAAGACTCCGTGGCATTAGAAAGAGAAATAAAATTATACAAATCCATACTGTAACCCATTTATTGTATTTCAGATTCTCCTAGAACAGACTAGTGCAGAGAAACTTTATATTATCTACGATCATAGGACATAAATTATACTCAAGATTCAAAGCCTTTGAAACCCTAGGATTTTGAAAATTCTCAATGATATTTTATGACACAGGATTTAATTAATCTTCTTGATGGTGTATGCAGTGTATTTATAAAGATATTCAATGTGATAAGAAATAAGGAGGGATATAATCCAACCTGAGAAAATGAGTTATATCACGTGGCTGGCCCTGCCACTCTATCTCACATGTATAGTTCCCTAAAAAATTATGGTATTTTACATAAACTAGGTACTTTCATATTTTCAGTGGCCACATTATTTTTCATTCTTATTTCGACTCAAACACTTAAACACTACTTTATTATCCCGGCAATGTCTCCATATGATTAATTGTCCATGAAAAGGGAAATTTGTTTATTTTCAGGTTTTTAAAGGAAGATTTTGAAGTGGCTAAATGGAATATAAAAATTCCCATATGTACTTTGGCAATGGGTTAAGAACTTGAGATTTTACAATTTGAGATTGAATTACGATTTTCATTTGTGCTTACTTTGTTACAAAGGAATTGAGTCTTTGCCACAAACTCTGATGTTCTTAAACCTATATCTTTGTAACACAGTATTTTAGACCTTAGATATTTCAAACTATGAATTCTATGAGATCAAATAATCAAAGTTTGAAATCTCAATAGTGTACACCATCGGGTTGCAAAAATATAGAGATTAGAAAATTGAGTTTGTGGCAAAGACTCAATTCCTTAACCTAAAAAAGATTTCAAAATCACTAAATAAGTTATAATTCCGCCTCAATCTCAAAATAACCTGCTTTAACCCTTGATAAAGTACATAAATAATTAATATTTGTTTTTTAAAAATGAAGATTTAAATGTTTGATGTATTTAGTATTTGTATAACTAGTATATTCAAATTGCTTTATTAATTGTATGCAGTGGACCTGGTCCTTGAATTAGCGGAAGTACGGAATTGAAGAAAAGCTTATTTAACATCATTCATTGTACAAAATGAACCCTGTGAGCATGTGTAGCAAATCCAATTTCAATCCAAATGATCAATTTTTATGTTATGTTAAAGATCCAAAATAGCTACTTTAATCTAAAAGATTATTTGATAAAAATGTAAGATGGCTACTTGTAGTATTCAAGATGGCTACTTGTAGTATCCAAGATGGCTACTTGTAGTATCCAAGATGGCTACTTGTAGTATCCAAGATGGCTACTTGAATCTAGAAGAACAATTGTAGTATCCAAGATGGCTAATTTAATTTAGAAAATTCAACTAATAAAAGACAAAGCTTGAATCCAGAAGATGAGCTGCTAATAATCTAAGATGGCTATACCTGCATCTAGAAGCTGGAGATTTTGTATTTCTAAATTGTTTGGTGAGAAGTTGGTCTCTACCAGGTTCATTCGAGCATCCTTCCTCACCTTAATATAACAAAATGCTTTCTTCAAAAGAAAATTACATTACTTACATTAAAAAGTAGTTAAATATATTTTTATCACTTTTTACACTAACAGCTGCATTATATCATTTCTTTACATAGTACTTCTTCATAGTAATTATGCGCCAGTTTGAATTGTCAAAATCAAGAATTAGTTGACAGGAGTATTAATGGAAAGGAATTGAGTCTTTGCCACAAACTATTCATCCCTATTTCTGCGCAACCTTAACGGATAAACCTTTGATATTTCTATTTTCTCTAAAAGAATTCATAGTTTGAAATATCTATTGTTGTTGTTAAGATAAAGGGTTTTGAAAATCAGAGTTTGTGGTGAAGACTCAATTACTTTCCTTCTTGAAAAGTTCAAAGATTTATCATCAATATTTTGTTTTCATTTTTAAAATCAAAATTGTTTTGAAATTTTGAATATTCGAAATTTACAATTGGGCTGTTTTATCAAAATCATTATTTATCCTGGTGGTTTTAAAAACATAATAATTCTGTAGGAGACTTTCTGAGAATTGGGTCTAAGTTATGAAAGCATATTCTCTGTATGACTGAATCCAATAAATGTGCTGATATGAAAGGATAAGGGACAGAATGAGAAATTGAGTTGCTAAAGAATAAAGGATTTGAATAGTTATTGTTCCTGAGTTCGAACCTCAGGATATTGAAGGTTCCGACTCCGTACTAAGGATTGATAGTAGCAGCAAGATTCAACCCTGCTTCATTTATCATTTCTAGCTTTTCTATAGAACATTGATATTGGAAAGAAGAGAGTGTACATAGGGCTGGGCGTCGTAATTTAAAAAATATTTTTTGAAAAAAAACCCCATTAACCCTAAAAATGTATGGGGATGTTGATAATATTTACGGTTATATACCAAAGAACTAAATAAAATACAATTTCTTTACTTAAGTTGGTAAAAAAAGTAATTAAAAACTAAATAAAAGGCGCTTTGGTTCAAGGTGGGAGGAAGAATGACTACCTTGTCAGCTCCTGCTGATATAACTCTCTCCCCCCGCCTCCAAACTATAGTATTAATACCTTGACAGCTCCTGCTGATTTAACTCTCTCCCCCTGCCTCCAGACTATAGTATTAATACCTTGACAGCTCCTGCTGATATAACTATCTCCCCCTGTCTCCAGACTAATGTATTAATACCTTGACAGCTCCTGCTGATATAACTATCTCCCCTGCCTCCAGACTATAGTATTAATACCTTGACAGCTCCTGCTGATATAACTCTCTCCTCCTGCCTCCAGACTATGGTATTAATACCTTGACAGCTCCTGCTAATATAACTCCCTCCTCCTGCTTCCAGACTATGGTATTAATACCTTGACAGCTTCTGCTGATATAACTCTCTCCCCCTGCCTCCAGATTATAGTATTAACACCTTGACAGCTCCTGTTGATATAACTCTCTCCCCCTGCCTCCAGACTATAGTATTAATACCTTGACAGCTCCTGCTAATATAACTCTCTCCCCCTGTACCAGGCTATAGTATTAATACCTTGACAACTCCTGCTGATATAACTCTCTCCCCCTGTACCAGACTATAGTATTAATACCTTGACAACTCCTGCTGATATAACTCTCTCCCCCTGCCTCCAAACTATGGTATTGTTACCTTGACAACTCCTGCTAATATAACTCTCTCCCCCTGCCTCCAGACTATAGTATTAATACCTTGACAGCTCCTGCGGATATAACTCTCTCCCCCTGCCTCCAGACTATGGTATTGTCTCCCAGATTCTCCACTTCACACTCCAGAATCACACTCGTCCCCTTCATCAAAATAAATCTTTAATCCTGATAATCCTGACTATATCCAACCCCTAATTAGACCCCCCCCCCTTTAGCGACGCATACGCCAAACCTGGAATGTAGAAAAAATTAAGTCCATCCAAAAAAAATCCCGCAAAGTCCACCCTCTTGCTAGATAGAGTCAGATCTAAAAAACAAAAAGCATTTCTCCAAGATACGAATAAACTCAGTTTTACTGTGGCTTGAGTGTAAAACAATTCAAGACAATCCAAATTTATGTTTTTTTTTAACATTTATAAAATAATTGCTACCTTTGGTCGCTCAAAGACCCGGCCACTAGTTCGGAAAACAGGTTCCATGGTTCTAGGATCAGGGTATAGACCTAAACAGAAATAGGTTCTAGGATCAAGGTATAGACCTTAACAGTGATAGGTTTAAGAATCATGGTATAGACCTAAGCAGAAATAGATTCAAGGATCAAGGTATAGACCTAAACAGAGAGAGGTTCTAGGTTCATAATATAGACCTAAAACAGATATATGGTTCTAGGATCAAGGTATACACATACACCTCTATACAGATCAAGGTTTAGGGATCAGGATATAGACCTCTTCAGAGATAGGTTCTAGGATCAAGGTATAGACCTAAACAGAGATAGGTTCTAGGATCAAGGTATAGACCTAAACAGAGATGGGTTCTAGGATCAAGGTATAGACCTAAACAGTGATAGGTTCTAGGATCAGGGTATAGACCTAAACAGTGATAGGTTCTAGGATCAAGGTATAGACCTAAACAGTGATAGGTTTATAGGATCAACGAATAGACCTAAACAGAAGTAGATTCATGGAACAGGATCAGGGTACACTATTTAATAGAGTTAGGAACAGGGTACACTATTCAATAGAATTATGAACAGGGTACACTATTTAATAGAATCAGGATCAGGGTACACTATTTAATAGAGTTAGGATCAGGGTACACTATTCCATAGAGTTAGGAAGAGGGTACACTATTAAATAGAGTTAGAATCAGAGTACATTATTCGATAGAGTTAGGATCAGGGTACACTATTTAATAGAGTTAGAATCAGCGTACACTATTTAATAGAGTTAGGATCAGGGTACATAATTTAATAGAATTAGGAATATTGTACACTATTTAATAGAGTTAGGATCAGGGTACACTATTTAATAGAGTTAGGAATAGGGTACACTATTCAATAGAGTTAGGAATAGGGTACACTATTTAATAGAGTTAGGAATAGGGTACACTATTTAATAGAATTAGGAATAGTGTACACTATTCAATAGAGTTAGGAATAGGGTACACTATTTAATAGAATTAGGAATCTATTAGAGTTAGGGCTGTATAAGTCTAAAACAGAGTTTGATGAGAGAATAATCTTGAACAGATTTAGAATAAAAGTACAATTATAAAAATAGTTTCTAAACACAGAACAGAATTAGGAACAGAGTAAAGTTCTAAATAAAATTAGGATCGGTGTAAGCCTAAATCAGAATTAGTCCGGGGCCCACTCTAAAACAGAACTATCATGGCTAGGAACAAACTAAAACAAAGTTAGGATATTGGAAAAAGAATTAAAATCCCATAGTTATACTCCATTCCCTTCCAAAGAAAATGTTCATTTAAAATCCTTCTCCTCCCCCCTCTCTCATCTACCCGGCCTTCTCCTCCCTCCTATTTTCTTCCTATTTTCATCTCTTTATCAACTCTCTCTTCCTTAATTTGTCCCGTAGTGCACTTAAATACTCTGTAATGTTTAAACTTCTCCATAACTTCTCATTCTTTTCTTAACCAGTTAGGGGTTAGTTCATTTTTCCTCTATTTACAATACTCTGTACAGTAGTTACAGTCTACAGAATTCTTTAAGGTTTCACAGTTTCTTACTTTAAATTCCATTTATCCTTAGTTCTATTGGTCCTAAGTTTTTTAATTCTTCTAATACTTATTTAATATCTTTGATTCGATTATTTTTTTTATCTTCTATATAATAAAGCTCTTCGCCCATATATTTGTATATTTGTTTATATATAGATATCCTGTAGCGATAGCTCGCCAAACGGCAGGCCACCAAATTGGCTGAAATTTTTTGAGAGAACCCAGGAATTTTTTTTCAAAATTCAAATTTTTTTCCTACAATATTCAATTTTTAATAAGATTCTACGGTTAAAGCCGGGCACTTCTGTTAGTATTCAATATAAAGGTTGGATCTAGTTTTAACATTTGAGTAAGACTTAAAGAAATAGAATTAGTGTTTAATAAGGTTTATGTTTATTAAAGGGTTTAGCACTAGTTTTAGTTAAGGTTTATGTTCATTTTAGGGTTTAAAGTAAGTTTGAATTAAGGTCTTTAATCATTTAAAGGGTTAGAATTAGTTTTAATTTAGATTTTGGCCCTTTAAAAGGTTTAGACACATCAAAATAATTTTATTTAAGGTTTAAATGTATTTAAAGATTCAGAAATATTTAAAGGTTCAGAATTCAGAATTTATTGAAAGGTTCGGGAATCAGAATTAGATTCATATTTATTTAAAGATTCAGAATTAGTCTTATTTAAGGTTTATATTTATTTAAAACTACAGACTCAGGTTTATTTAAGGTTTAAAGATACAGACTTAGTTTTACATAAGGTTTACATCTCTATTTAAAGATTCAGAGTTATTTTTTTAAGGTCTATATCTCTATTTAAAGATTTAGAAAAGGTTTTATTTAAGGTTATAATTTATTAAAAGGTTCAGAATTATTTTTATTTCAGGTTTGAATTTATTTAAAGGTTCAGAATACATTTGTGTGTACTATGTGCTGTGTAGGATTCTGTATATGTTTAGAACTATGAGAAGAGGTTTACAATGATATATAATTTATATAACGACATAGTTCAAGAAGAAAGGATACTACAATCCTTCTGTGTATATAATACAGTACTGTAGAGATACGTAGAGATACTCTGAGCCAAAACTTAAGACAGTGTATCTTAATGAAACCCAGTATCGTAAACCCAGTTTATAAATGTAAGGTTGGCAACGTTTAAGAAACCATCTGTTTGTATGGGTATGGTCGTCTATATCCTCTTTTTATTCACTTTTTCTTAAATCAAAATCTACACAAAGGGGTTCTTTAAACTTATTTAAATTTCAGGCTCGGAGAATGGATGAAACAATTATCATTACTATTTTTAAGAGAAGATTTAAACCTTTAACTTAATACCTCCATTTAAGGTTCGATCTAACCTATGTGAGTAGAGTTTGATAAAAAAATAAAAACTAAAATTGAAACGCATTGGAATGGATCTTATTTTTATCTGTTTAAGATTTAAATATTAAATTCATTTAACCAAGAAGGTTTTGCAACTATAACTCGACTCCAACTAAAAGTTCCAGCCTCTTATGATATAATAAATCATGATTGAATTCGATTTATTCTATTGAAAAGATATAGAATATGCTTTGAAGTATAAACTTTATCTTCAGATTAAATATCAGACTTTAGAATTATGAAGAAAATTATATGATCGGTCTGCTAAGAATTGCATTTACTGGAAAACGATTAAGCAATATCATTTTTCCGCTTTTCAATTAAAATATGAACTGCTGAGTTTGAAACTTGAATCATGAATTTAAATACGAGAGCTAAATAATAAAAATAAAGATAATTTTCCAATTTGTTTATCAGCATGAAGAAACTTTTTATGCCATAACGTTAGGTTAAGAAAATGCATACAATGCTAGAAAAACATTGTTTACGTTAAAGTATTATATTTGGCGTAAATTAAGTAGAAATATATAATCTAATAATTTGTTTATTTGTTTTTGTGTGTGTACAGTACAACATGTTGTATCCCCCCCTGGTTCTGTATAATATTAGATATTGTCAATTTATTTTTATCTTATTTTCATCTTTTTATTCTCGGTCCAGTTCTCTCTTTCAAGATGGAGGGAAGTTAGATTAGATCCATTGATTTATTCTTCTACAAGTTTTCAGACTTAGGTCAGACTTATCATCGAATTGTTTGCAGTTAACAAAAAAGGCGTAAATATGATGCAATGAGATAGGAGGGAGAGGGGAGGGGGGTTTGTTGAAAGGTTTTATGTTGATGTTGATGATCAAACTAGATTTTCTAAAGACCCAATGATTTGAAAAGACCGTATTTTATACAAAGATATAATGACAAAAAAGACCTGATAACAAGAACGTGACAACTTGCGTGATTTATCTCACAAATATCGTTTTTCTCTTAACAATTAATTCAATTCTATCATTTTATTCTATAATGACACCAAAAAAAAGTGTTAAAAAACATTATCCATTTTCTTAACTTTGTGTTTGTGCAAATATGATTTTTTTTATAAATATAAATATATAAAAATAAAAATTTTAGAGAAATTTCAGTGTTAGACTGCACATCTCACAAGCTTATTTTATTCCTTTAGTGCACTTACTTGATCCCAGAGGTTTAAAGAGACATTTCCCCAAGATGATGAAGAAAACAACTCTACTCATGATATTCTACAATTCAATATATTCTGCAGATTGTCCCATTATATTATTCAGTTCCAAGTCATCAAAGGACCAAACTTAACGAATAATGAGAAATAGTTGAAATATTAAAAGTTTAACCACGTCTCTGAACTTGAATCGACTCAACTCAATAGAAGTGGTTCAACTTATTCTACAAAGTGGAACTGCTTCTTATTATTTATAAAATTTGGCACCTGTAGACATCTTAGATTTAAAAGAAACACTAATGCAGTACAGATTGTTTACAAATTAAACTAGCAGCATACGTCAGAGTAAAATGTCTGTCTAGAAACGTGTATTGTTCAAATATATTTTATTTAAAATTTTTGTCCAGAAATAGTTTCCAATTTAATAAATGGATGCTTCTAATACATTTTCTTTTTTACAGTGTGTACACATGAACACTTCTTTACAGTGTGTACACATGAACACTTATTTACAGTGTGTACACATGAACACTTCTTTACAGTGTGTACACATGAACACTTCTTCTTAAATAATTTCATAAAAATAATGCTGTTTTTCTGTTATGCATGTTTTTATGTCCGTCACAAATGCTAGTCTGAGTCTAACCAAGATATATTGTCTGTAAGCAAGGTTATCTTGTCTGTGGGGAAGTTATCTTGTCTGTGACCAAGGTTATCTTGTCCGTAAGCAAAGTATCTTGTCTGTAAGCAATATGTTTTTTTCTGTAAGCAAGGGTATCTTGTCAGAAGCAGGGTTATCTTGTCTGTAAGCAGGGTTATCTTGTCTGTGACCAAGGTTATCTTGTCTGTAAGCAAGGTTATCTTGTCTGTAGGCAAGATTATCTTGTCTGTAAGCAAGGTTATCTTGTCTGTAAGCAAGGTTATCTTGTCTGTAAGCAAGGTATCTTGTCTGTAAGAAAGGTTATCTTGTCTGTAAGCAAGGTTATCTTGTCTGTAAGCAAGGTATCTTGTCTGTAAGCAAGGCATCTTGTCTGTAAGCAAGGTATCTTGTCTGTAAGCAAGGTATCTTATCTGTGACCAAGGTTATCTTGTCTGTAAGCAAGGTATCTTGTCTGTAGGCAAGATTATCTTGTCTGCAAGCAAGGTTATCTTGTCTGAAAGCAAGGTTATCTTGTCTGTAAGTAAGGTATCTTGTCTGTAAGCAAAGTGTCTTTTCTGTAAGCAAAGTTATCTTGTCTGTAGGCAAGATTATCTTGTCTGTAAGCAAGGTATCTTATCTGTAAGCAAGGTTATCTTGTCTGTAGGCAAGATTATCTTGTCTGTAAGCAAGGTATCTTGTCTGTAAGCAAGGTATCTTGTCTGTAAGCAAGGTATCTTGTCTGTAAGCAAAGTGTCTTGTCTGTAAGCAAGGTATCTTGTCTGTAAACAAGGTATCTTGTCTGTAAGCAAGGTATCTTGTCTGTGACCAAGGTTATCTTGTCTGCAAGCAAGGTTATTTTGTCTTCCAGAAAAGTGATCTCGTTGAAAATTTCCGCACGGAACATTGAAATAACATGATGAACTTTCAAATTGCATAGCGAACCTTAAATTTTTTTTTTTGATTTTGCACAATAAGAATAAATTCAAATATTCTGAAATAAAAAAAAAAGAAATGAGAAGATAATTCCAGAAATATCCTAAGAAATCCTGTTTGTCGAATATCTAAAGCAACAAAAACAGGTTCGTTCACATTTTCATAAAAGAACTTTTCACAGAGCAGAATTGAGTCGAAATCAAATGGATATAAGCAAAAAATAAGCGTTAGAGAAAAAGGTCACGTGGAGTTAGTGGAATGATTCTAAAAGTGTTATGGATAAAGTGCGTATGAAAATGGTCTAAATGGTTCCAACCAAATAAAAATGGTTCAAGTGTTTTTTTTATTTTTTAAAAAATAATTCGACGATTTAAGAACGTTGTTGATTTTAGAAGAATTCAAATGATCTAAAAATGCAAATTGTTTTTAAAGAATGCCAATAATTTAAACGCAAATCTACCATGAAGCTAATAATTCTGCCTTTATTATGTAATAAATTGGTTCAGAAGCTTGTAATTGTTGCAATAAGATCATCATGACATCAATCTATATAAGCTGATAGAACAATATATATAAGGTTTGGTTAATAGCCAGCTCCTCTGGTTCTCTCTCTCCGGTAACTCCGAGCACTCAGAGTAAACTAAACTTCGGAGAATTGTTTCTCTCCGAACCCCCGATACCATCCTCTCTCCAACCATCCGTTCTCATCCGGGGTTTCAAGGCCTATTTCCGGTTTAACGGATAGTTTCCGGTCTTTAGAGATTTTAATAGTTAGAAGAAAGATATCGTAAGGATAAAATTAACCCTTTTTCTCATAAACAAACTACATTTTCACACTCTAGAGATTTTTCTTTAATATCAGCTGTATAAATAACAAAATAAATTTAGTCCAAATAATTCTAATTATAAAGAACAAAACCAGAAACAAGAAAATAATGGAGTAATTCTTTATAAAAGACAGTGTTAGAAATAATACATTAAAGCTAAAGGATTCTTTATCGGAGTGTCAGAACAGAAAAGCACAAGTTAACTAATTCTTTATTAGAGGTTAATTTCGGAAAAGAATAAGGTTAACTAAATCTTTATTCAACAGTGGCATAGTACCAGAGTACCAGAAATGAAAACCAAGTTAACTGATGAATCTTTATTCAACAGTGGTATCAGAAACCAGAATATCATGTTATTTGAATCTTTATTGAACAGTGGTATCAGAAACCAGAATATCTAATACCAGAATAGTTAACTGAATCTATATTGCACAGAGATATCAGAAACATGAATACCAAGTTAACTGAATCTACATTGAACAGTGATATCAGAAACATGAATATCAAGTCAACTGATGAATCTATATTGAACAGTGATATCAGAAACATAAATATCAAGTCAACTGATGAATCTGTATTGAACAGTGACATTAGAAACATGAATATCAAGTCAACTGATGAATCTTTATAGAACTGTGCATGGTTATGATAAGAATTTGTCCGATATTGGAATTTCAGCTCCAAATAATATTAGTTTGGTTCTGTAGATTCTAAATATAAAAAAGAACTGTTGACTGTCACCATCCCCAACCCTCACAAATAACCAAATGATTAATTTTATTGAATTATAGTTTACATGAATAAATGACAAGGAAGTATGTGTTAGAGAAACGGCGCGGCGCGGTATTGACTTTGGACTGAAAAAAAGTATTTGCTTTACTTTATTTTAAACAAACGTCGAAATATTTGGAAGTAAATCCGCCAATAAAAAAAATTCCAAACCTAATTTATTTATTGTTATTTGTATATGTATGAAGCACGAAGAGAACATTCTAGCATAAGAAGCTGCGAATAAAGTTGAGAAGCAAATTATAAACAATAACTATCACAAAACTTTCATATTATCTAATATTATCTGTCTCAGTGAACTGTAGAGATTTTTTTCAGATCAATTATGTCCTCGAGCGTATTGAAAATCCCAACTTAAGATCAACATTTGATAAGTCAACCCTTTGCCAGGTACACAACATGTTTTAATTATCTGATCTTCACCCTAAAGGAATTGAGTCTTTGTCACAAGCTCCAATTTTCTAATCCCTATATTCTAACAATTTGATGGTGCAAACCTTTAATTTTTCAAACACAAAGTAAAAAATAATTGAGTTGGGAGGAAAAACCTTTGTGCACAACATTACAGTTAATTCAAAATACACCCTGTTAAAATAAAGTGCCCATTACTACCCTGTCCCCATATTACATCCTGCCTCCTGCCTATCTCTCTGAAATATTATGAGTTGAAGTGAAGTTAGATAAGCTCCATCATAAATCTAAGGATTGGCATGATAACATCGGTTTGGAAATATTCTAAAGTCTTGTGCTAGAAAAGCGGTTTATTATCCCACACATTATCTTTAAATCTCAGCTATTCATAGTTTACTCATCATCTTTCCATTCATCAGTCCATCCATCATATTAGGATACACCTAATCATTCCATCCACCATAGTAGGATACAGTTCATCAGTCTATCCACCATAGTAGGATTCATTACATCAGTCCATCCACCAAAGTAGGATACAGTGCATCAGTTCATCCTCATACTAGGATACAGTACATCAGTCCATCCTAATAGAAGGATACAGTTCATCAGTCTATCCACCATAGTAGGATACAGTTCATCAGTCCATCCACCATTGTAGGATACAGTTCATCAGTCCATCTACCAAAGTAGGATACAGTGCATCAGTTCATCCTCATACTAGGATACAGTACATCAGTCCATTCTCATAGTAGGATACAATTCATCAGTCCATCCACCAAAGTAGGATACAGTTCATCAGTCCATCTACCAAAGTAGGATACAGTGCATCAGTTCATCCTCATACTAGGATACTGTACATCAGTCCATCCTCATAGTAGGATACAGTACATCAGTCCATTCTCATAGTAGGATACAGTTCATCAGTCTATCCATCCTATTAGGGTACAATTCATCAGTCCATCCACCCTAGTAGGATACAATTCATCAGTCCATCCATCATAGTAGGATACAATTCATCAGTCCATCCATCATAGTAGGATACAATTCATCAGTCCACCCATCATAGTAAGATACAATTCTTCAGTCTATCCACCATAGTAGGATACAATTCATCATTCCATTCACCATAGTAGGATACAATTCATCAGTCTATCCATCGTATTAGGATATAATTCATCAGTCCATCCATTATATTAGGATACAATTAATCATTCCATCCACCATAGTAGGATTGTTAACCATTAATTATAAAACCTCTATAAAATGTCGTCTTCAACTTGAATCTCCTGTCGGAGACAGCCAAACCAAATTTTCAGCCCGCAAATTCCATTGTCCTCCTCCGACGGAGCTTAAAATATTTTCGTTGTTGTGAAATCATTAAAGTTAAGCAAAATATTTGCATAAGAAGCATAAGTGAATTTCGTTAAATATTCAACTGTAATTTTTCAGAAGTTAA